CAGTGATTGGTACATTTAGAGCACTGTTCTGAAGTCGTGTCATATAGCGCTCTGGAACAGTGATAGGTCGGGCTTTCTGGCCTGTTAGGAGCACGAGACGCTTTATAAAATCGATTGGTAGCTCCCTAGCCCTCAGTGATAGAGGGTGCCATACGTCCAGTCGTTGGATGCGCGCTGCTGACCGAAGTTGCCTCTGATCCAAAAGGATTGCTGCCGGTGGAACACCTGATTCTCTTCAGAGAGCCAAGTTTGGGGTAGTGCGCCAAGCGGGTAGTGCCGCTTTGACTGCCTTTAAAATTGTTCTGTCCAACAGATCTGTATGCCAGCCAACTCCGGTGCCAAATTTTTGTCTCGCCGCGTGGTAATTCGGGCTAGGCCAGGCCATCATACCTCCGCTCCATACAGTGCCGTACTTAGGACACAGGCGTGAACAGCTTTAACCATTGGTCCTGGTGCTATGCCCCGCTGAACCATATCAATACGCCGTATGAACTGTGTTACACGTATTGAAAGGCTGAGGGGCGATGGATAGGGAGACGTCACCTTGTGAATAGAATACTGATAGGTATGGGAGAATTCAATAGATCACTTGGACAGAGTAAGATGATTGATTGATGGTGAATTGTATTTGTGGATGATTGATGTATAGATACTGAGAGTAAAAAGGCCCTATCTATATACAGGAGTTCCTACCCTTATTCCTCTACATGGTATTGCCTATGATAGCTAGAGTAACTACAATGGTGTCCTCATTGTAGTGAACACGTTGATGTTAGTGTGTAGGGACCAGGAGGCAATAGTGATCAGACTCTAAGGGGTTAACTTTGCTGGTGCACAGTTATCCCCCGAAGGTGTGTGCAGTTATGAACTCAGATTTTTGCAACAACACGCTGTGCTTTTCTGTTGGAAATGTCGCGCAATGTAATTGGCGCAATATTCATGGAACAAAAGTAGAAGTTGACTAAAAGAGTGTCATGTTCGGATTAAAGCTAAAAGTGTGGGAGATGTGCGCTACAAGTACAAGTGTAAGCGACACAGAGCCTAAGCCACAGCATAAACGAGTGTGGCGCCATCTAGGCGTAGAAGATCCCCCAATAACCTCCTTGCGCCCACGACATACAGCCGCTCATGTATCCAATAGGTAGCCTGAAATCTCGGCCGGCTCCACCGGTCCTACATCTAAATAGATTGAAGGTTATGGCCTGGGACTTAAAACTAAAATAAATAAATAAATAAATAAATAAATAATAAATAATAAATAAATAAATAAATAAATAAATAAATAAATAAATAAATAAATAAATAAATAAATAAATAAATAAATAAATAAATAAATAAATAAATAAATAAATAAATAAATAAATAAATAAATAAATAAATAAATAAATAAATAAATAAATAAATAAATAAATAAATAAATAAATAAATAAATAAATAAATAAATAAATAAATAAATAAATAAATAAATAAATAAATAAATAAATAAATAAATAAATAAATAAATAAATAAATAAATAAATAAATAAATAAATAAATAAATAAATAAATAAATAAATAAATAAATAAATAAATAAATAAATAAATAAATAAATAAATAAATAAATAAATAAATAACAAAAAACATCATTTTTGCCAGAAAGCTGCACAGCGTTCCAAGCTGCCCGTATCATCAATTTGACATCGTGATTATCATTTTTACATCTTTATTACCCTACTCTCATCTTTTCGCTTTCCGTGCTCAAACATGGCGAGTGTGGGTGCTGGTGTGGGTAAATCCAGCGGTTTCGACGCGTCGCAAAATGCGACAATGGCCCCAACAAATAACGGCAGCGGAGCGCAGACAGCTCCAAAGGATAGAAACCTTGAAATCCTGGGGAAACTACTGAAACAGGTTAGATTAATCGTAATGGGAGAGATGGATGAGGAGGACTTACCCTCCATGGAGGATGTGAACGAGGCCGTGAAGGCCTTCAACGCACACAAAAGGGCCTGGACGGAAATGTCCCAGAAGAAGTCTCCTATCGAGGAGAGGATGATGGCGCTCGAGGAGGTTGTCAAAAAGAGCCTCGCGGATCCTGCTCGAAAAGCTGCACCAGCAGTGGTTTCGGGCGCGCCGACACAAAGGAGCTACGCGTCGGTCGTGGCTCCGCAAATGACGAAAACAGCGGTTAGGATAAGAATCGATGGCGCACAAAACCTGCAGCCACAAGAGCTGCTGTCAAAGGCACAACAACACATCGCAGGCGCATTTGCAATTCGACAGATGCGAAGCAACGACACCGAGGTGTTTGTCCAGTCGGCGTCCCAGAGAGACGCGGCGCTTAATATGCGACAACCAAGCGAATTCAAAATTTTGCGGCAAGACTTTCCTGTTGAGGTTTCCGGAGTCCCACTGCGGACAAGAATTGAGGGTGGCAGAGATGCCAACAACTACGCCATCATCAGGGAGATTGAGACGGCGACCAAGGCACGTATTCCAGGCCTGGTTATTAGCAGAATACGATGGCTACATGATGGAAAGGAACATCAGCGATCGAAGAAAAACGGTCGCAATCGTGGTTCAATTGTGGTCAGCCTCCCATCGGAGGCAATGCAAACGGAGGTAGTGCGACAGGGCCTTGTTATCAACGCCATGCTCTTCACCGCGCAGGTATGGTCGCCACGGGCTCAGCCAAAGCAGTGTTACAACTGCAGCCAATGGGGACACACGCAGGCGTCGTGTGGAAAGGCAGCTAGGTGCGGTGAGTGCGCTGGCACTCACCAAACTCGGGACTGTCCGAGGAAAAGAGTTTCTTGTGCCAACTGCGGCAAGGAACATCGTTCATGGCAGAAAGCAGCGTGTCGGACCTACCAGGTCTACAAGGGAAGTGTGGAGAAGGCTCGGATGGAGCTGTTATCGAGAACGGCAGATATTTGGAATGAAAAACCAACAATGGCGCCAACACAAACAGTCAGACCAACTGATGATCAGGGATTTACTTTGGTCACCAGTAAAAAGGCTGATGGACTCAAAAGAGGGCCAGGACGACCGCGTAAGGTAGTCGAAGTCCCAGCGGCACCAATAATCGCCTCGACAGCAGCACCGCCATCGGGACCTACTCTTCGAACACTTCGAAGACCAACGCCGAGTGAGGAGGTGCCTTCTCTTTTCAATTTCTCATAACGTTAGTCTGATCGAAGGGGGAGTTAACGAATTTTGGGGAAAGTTTATAAAATTGCGGTTGAAAGGAACGTCCTCAGCATAAAGCCGGGTCGGTTCAAAGTGGCAGGACATCGGGGTTTGTTTGTTGAAAGCTTTTTCCCTTACCAAAGCGGCTTACCGTCTTCATGATTCTGTATATAGATACCGCATAGGACGTTAAACTAGATCAATGAATGAAATAAATAAATAAATAAATAAATAAATAAATAAATAGCCTGAAGCGCTACCATGTTACCTATTCCAACCTCTTACATACACATGAGATCCTGTCGGGAACCTAGACAAAATGGAGGGCCCATACGTCCACAATACTCCGTGTCTCCATTTCCAACATTTTCCGTACCATTCTTGCACGTGCCGCTTAAATTTAAGCTGGGATTCCAGCCATACTCCAAGCCATCGCACGTGTGGGGATGGGGAAATATTGAGACCTTTCACCTGGATTGCAAGACCTGACGTGTCCAACTTTTTTCTTGGTCCGCCTCCTATTATTAAAAGCTCAGACTTTACCAAATCAAAGTTGATCTTGTGCTCATCTGCCAGCTGAACGAGTTTATCTACTTCTATCTGAGTCGATGGGACAGCTTCAGCGGCAGTGTGTCCCATTCCGAGGGATGCAATATCATCGGCATATCCGAATCTTTTTCCTTTCACATATTGAACTAAAATGGCAATGTATAGGAGGAAAAGAAGTGGCGATAGAGGTGAGCCCTGAGGTACTCCGCACTCCACTACTTTTTCGCATGTTATTCCCTCCCGGCAACGAATGCGAATGGTCCGCCAGGTCAAAAAAGACTCAACAAATCGGCACAGTCTCCTCGACCACCCCTGGTCACGCATTCTATACAGTAAGCGTTTGTGAAGTACCGCATCAAAAGCTCCTTGCAAATCCATCGTTATCATAGCTGTAACTTTGTTACTTCTCATTGTGGCCTCGGCGTCATGAATAACACAGGAGACAAGATCAACCGCTGAACGTCCTGACAGGGCCCCAAAAAGTTGTCGAGGGACTAATTGGTGCTCGATGACTGACAAAGCCATTCTTTTGGCTATGATACGTTCCAATCCTTTACCTAGGCACGAGAGCAGAGAGATAGGCCGCCATCCCTTAGGGGTGGATAGATTTCGTCCAGGCTTTGGAAGCAAAACTACTTCTGCGACTCGAAACGCTGTTGGGAAGTATTCATGCTCCAGAGAAGCTTGGAAAATGTTTCTTACATGCGTCCCAATTCCTGTCCAGCACGACTTGAGCAGCCTCACGGTTAATTTGTCGTTCCCAGGGGCCGTGTTGTTGCCGCCAATGGTGCATTCTGTAACGTCTGATAATGAAATTTTGTTGTTCCAAGGGATTTGCTCCGGTTGGTCCAGCCCCCATGTGGATAGTTCTTTGTCTGCATCAAAACGAGCCATCAAAGTGTACCTCAAGCTCTCTGCTCTCTCGAGTGGGTCTGAAAGCCATTTGTCCTCTGTAACCTTTTATAAATGACTATAAATGTGGGCAGGGGTTACATGAATAGCCATGCCATCCAAGTGCCGCGCTCACAAGATGATCTGCATTACCCATAATCATGATCTTCATTTTAATTTGATAGCTTTGAAAGTCTGCAGACGCTGTCTACAGAACTTTCGGGTGTCTGTTTGGATTCTCATCTTGATGGTGTAAATTAAAATAAAGTCACCACAACTCCGTCTAACTCCTCTACCAATCGTACATCATCAATCATCTATCTCATTCATATCCTATTTGCATTGCAATCATTCTTTTTCAACCATTGCCAACAGCATCCTACTTGTCAAGATGACAATCACAGATGAAGATGTCCAACATTTCATTCAATATCCTCTTGAAAACATTACCTCATTTATCCGTCCACATCATGATTTTAAAAATTTTAAGATCAACAGAGAAAGTCCTAACAAAGTCATTGATCTCACGCCCATGTCTGATCTTCTGATTAATTTGTTAAGTACATTTCATATTTACTCACAAGATTGCTCCGTTCCCTCGACCATAGATAAAAATATGTCTGGCCGGATCTTTTCCATCTACAGGCAAATGAATTCAAAGGCAATCCAAATTTCTTACTTCCAACCTCTTGTAACCTCGATTCTTTTTAACTGTAGCGATGCCGAAATATGGAGTCATTTGACTGATCTCGTCAACAATCTTGAGCCTATCACACCCTTACAGCTCGACGCATCTTCGTCCTATCATCCCGACGCGCAACACATATACACAACGGCGCAACTAAAAGGTGCTGATGAAACTATGGACATACTCAAAGATGCTTTGAGAAAGGAACTGACGGGAACTGTCTTTGAAGATGTCACGGGATTTTACGAGAAATTCTTTGAGAAACTGCTTTGGGCGAGCAAATGCAAGAAGATCTCCGAGAGCTATGCTAATAGAAAAGACCAAGAATCATTCAAATTTCCGGACGATCGTACGGAGGCGAATGTATGGCAGTGGATAAAATCGGTCCAGATAAAATTTGTCGAGCGGTATTGGGATCCTCCGGCCGAGAAAGCTGCAGATAAAGCCAATACACCGAATACAACAAATGCACCCCACCAACTCGACGCATCCAAGAAGAGAAAGTCTTTTCCTCTGCGCGGACAGAAGTTTCGGACAGAAGTTTCGGACAACCAATGGATCTCAAATCAAGGGCGGCCCTTGTTTCCGACAAGTAAACTTTTTCATCAAGAGTCGCAGCCTTCGTCGCGGGACTCCCCACAGCTGGCGGGATATACAAGTCTTGGGACAGATTACCAAGCTTCCCACTAGTGCGTGGATGGATAAGTTTCTCCAACTTGCTGTTTACATGCAGGAGGTGTTTACGGCGCAGCCATTGCGTAAGTTTGTGCATGGATTGTTGGAAATGAAGTATAATATTATTAGTAATGATTACCTTCATTACGTAATAGGTTCCCAACGCAATCCCTATATTCACTATCTACACACAAGTTTGGTTTCCTCAGTAAGAGTTATATGGATATGTACTAGCGTGGCTCTATTTCTATGACAGGAGCACATAGCGTAAGTTATCGCTTCTTGTATTTGAGGATTTTTCGATCTGTACACTTAACTCCTATCTTTTTTGATGCTTGGGATTAACATTTGATCATACATAACCAAGTAATCAGTTCACACTTCTCTTGTTGTGCCTAGACTCACATAGCTACAGTGCACAGCTCCAGTTATGATGGTCACGCGACTGCATGCATTTGCTCTGTTTGCTCCTGCTTTGTTGAGTTAGTATAATTAGTAAGCAATAGTCTAGGGACTATAAGTAGAGAGCTTTCCTCCACAGTAGATAGAGTAAGTAATTCAGTCTTTCCTCATTCTACAGAGATCATTCTCCACTCCTCTTCTTGACCTATCCGGCCAAACAGCACATCTGTGATCACTAGCAGCAAACTCCCACAAATTGTATGTACACCCGAATCATAGACCTATCATAACATCTCTGCTTTGTCATAAGTAATCCTCTTTCTCCAACAACATGGATTCCTTTTGTTGGACACCAAATTGCAACTGTGGGTATTTGATCGGTCGGGCCCATACTCCACGGGCTTCACTGATATTGGTGAAAGTCCTGAGGTGCTCGTATACGCCATAACAGCCTATATGTTGATGAGCGACGAGGAGCTTGGGATCGATACATTGGTGCGACATGAACAAGATCAGACAATTATTACTGTCATTGACGCTAACACCCAAGAGCCTCGCACTCTGATTCTGGAAGCTGAGCCGCTCTTCGTACAGGGGGCGATCGTCGCCCGTGGCACAGCTTGCTACCGCGCTCTAGATGGAACGTACGTGGTCAAAATTTCATGGAGAGCAGTGGATAGGCTGTCTGAAGTAAGCCTTCTGATGCAAGCACGCGACGTACGAGGTGTGGCTCGGCTTATCGGCTCACGGGATGACTCGAAGATAAGTGAACTTCGCGAGGGTTTGACAATTACGAGTGAAATGGAGAGAGATGTCCATCCAGACGACTCTCTTATGACAACAACCGTCGAGCCGATAGAGGCAGGTCCATCAATTCCGGCCGAAATTAATGAGCATTGCACATCTGAGAAGCGTAAAGACCGAGCCGAAGACAGTATTGGCGACGATGGCGACCAGAGAAAGAAGAGGATACGCGTGTCAGATATCGCAAGAGTAGCGCAGGAAAATGCAGCATTGATTTGCGACTGAGGCAACGGAAATCCGACAGGCTCAGGAAAGGTAGCACCTGTGGAAATAGTGCGCCGCTCGACGAGAATAAGCTCTGGAGAGCCGGTCAAATACTTTGTCCCAACTCGAAAATGTAGCCGATCCTGCAAGTCTGAGTCCAGCAAGTTGGGATATAAAAGACGTCGAAACCCGGATCATGCGCAAGATAAAAATTCTGCCGTGCCTGAGCGTGACTTAGAAAGGCTTTGCATCTCAAGTACTGCCGGGGAAATAGTATTGGGAGGTGGAACAGCGCCAATTTTTATTCAGGTCGGCTTACTGACTTCTGCCCCTGGGGACCGAACAGGCAATGGTGCTGAAGCAAATTCTACTACTGTGAAAGACGGAGATGCAGACAATCCCGGAACGCTAGAGCCGTCGATTTCCTATCGAGATCGCCAAAAGACATTCATTGCCACTGAACCCCGTGGTAGATTGATTGGCGAGGAAACAACAGCTCTTGACCTGTTGCAGGGTATCCGCGATGCGATCTTGGCCCATCAGTCACTTTTCAAGGATGCTAGGATATTACATCGGGACGTGTCTATTAATAACATTATACTGACCGATCCTGCTGTTAACAATGGTCGGTATGGGTTATTGATAGATCTTGATCTGGCAATATCTTTGAACGATGTCAATAGTGACAGAGATTCGCAGATTATGACTGGTACTATGGAGTATATCGCCCTTGGGATCTTGGAAGCCAATATTTTCGAGACTGGCAAAGGGTATAAGCATACGTATCGACATGATCTGGAGTCTTTCTTCTATGTCCTCGTTTCAGCGTGCATCCGAATTGGCTGGGGGGATAAAAAGTCAGGTCGCCCTTATATTCTAGCCAGCTGGTACACAGGAACGGTCAAACAGATGTACGATGCCAAGCACGGGGCAATGGGATCAAAATTCTTTCAAAATCTAATTTTGAACCATTTCTCAGCAAGGTACAATTGTGTCAAAGCACTAGTCACAAGGTTACGGGCTATACTATTTGATAGATCAACGGGCGTTGATACAAGTACGAATCCCTTCGCAGATGAGGTTTATGACCTCATTCTTAAAGCGTTTGACGATGAAATCAAGGGGATCAAATGTGAGTATTAATACCTAGTGTGTTATCAGACTGTTCATTAAGAATTACTCTTTACTAACTGAGATAAAATGACTAGTAGTTGAACAGCTTGCCAGATCTAGTAAGCGCAAGAGATGAAGCCGTTTCGGATCTGAAATAAAGAATGCCGCTAACACCAAGAGTAGATACGGAAACACTGAGTGCAGAAGGTTAAAGGTTGAGAATGGGGCATTGTCTACACGCGGTACTTTTATGAGCCGGTAAGTGGTCAAAAGAATTTACTTCTTTTGACTATTGGACTGATAATGACTCGTAGATAATAGATCAATTCGATTTTTCTATCTTCCTCAACAACAAATGTTGGTTGCTATATGGGATCTAAGGTTGTAGATTGGGCAAATAGACGTATACATACACAAATAAACAGATATGATTTTAAATGATGTAAAACTTGATGACCTTGGATTTTGTCTATTATTGAGAATAATATGAAACAAAAAGCTCAATGATTTCGGAACAATGTTTATATTTAGATGACGTACTTATGCTTGATGTCATAGGTGAGGAACATCAAGAGAATCTTAAGAAGCATCAGTCACAAAGCCACGGAATACATGAGATTTTATTAAAAACAGGGAAAGACCAGGGTCTCTAGAATGTATCGTAAATGTCGAAGTTTGTAGCTAGCAAATTAGCATACCAAAAAGCTACGGTAATAAATCATCAGTAGAATTTCGGACCATATTTACCCCTGAATTAAAAATTATAAAGATCTAATTTGAATACATTTTAGGTAATTGCATTCAACGAGATGGTCCTTCCTTGGAAATTGACAAATCATGATTGATCACTAAAGGTGTTTTCCCACTTGTAGCTATCTCTTTTATCTTTCTGAAGCTTTGGATCACTGTGGATCCTAAAAGTAGCAGGCTACATAATGTAACATAGACTACTAAATGCGGTTAGCGTACGATAAGTAAGCTACGCACAAATTGTAGATTTCGGAGTTGGGAGTTAGGTAGACACATAGGCAGATTTATTAGAACTCAAGCTTAACTATTGCATTCTACGGAATTAGCTGTAGTAGAGCCACGAGTTAAATTTGTCACCATCCTGTTTCAATTGTGATCGATCGAAACCCACAAAAGTATATATTTTTGTAGAGAAAATCTCAATTAAAAAAAAATCGCCATTAATATTCGCTTTCATTTCACATCATAATGGTAGGCCTCACAAACTTGGAGCTCGAAGCTAAGTTGAAGAAAGCCACCGCCGACCAGGTGGCGTTTCAGGAAGACACGACAAAGCGCTTCCAAAAATTGAGCAAGAACTTGGAAAAGCTTGCGGAAAGGACGGACAATTCAATCCAAGAACTGACCGAAAAATCAAAATTGACTTTTAGTGAGCTCCTGCACAGGGCGGAAAAAACTGACGATGCACTCTCGCACATCTTGCAACAACTCTCTGTTATTGCCAACGCCAAGACTAGTGAGAATCTAGCTACCAGCAGCCTACGTCCTACAATCACGTCAACTCAAGAAGCCCCACCGCTAGAAAAGGGCAAACAGAGACGACAAGTTTCGTCCTCCAACCAGGAAGCCTCCGCTTCATTGGTGGCGGTGCCCAAACAGGAACCACTGATACCGAAAGTCTCAGGCGAGTTCCCAACTTCCATGAAAACTGAAAGTCGATGCTACGACAATTCATTGTCGACTCAAATCCAGTTCTTCAACGCCCCACCAACTGCAGCCAACAACAAGTTCCTTGCCGACGGAACAATTGTTGAGATAGTACCGACAAATAACGGTCACGGTACCGAAGGTGCAAACCCACGCCTAGCACTGCAACATGCACATCTACTGCTCGCCACCAAGATTCGGGCGCGGGAGCGCCCAGGTAAAAACTATACATGGAAGCGATCGGGGTAGCGACACCATAAGCCCCTGGAATATAAGTGCTAGCCGTAAGGGGCTGGGTACCACTCAGCGTATATGCAACAGCATCGAGTGTACAGGTGTATCTCGGGTGTCACCAAAGGAAACCAGTACGGTCGCCCCTGGATCAGCTATTCAGGGGCGCTCAACTAGGGTACTAAGCTGCGATTATAGGAGCAGTGATGCGACTGGCAAGCGGAGGATATACGAGAGCCGCAGGAGCAGCGATGGCCGCTCATGAACCGTGGATTCATGAGCGCTGGATTGGTAATGTGATTACTATAGATAGTCAATCACGAGATGGAACTAAGACTATGACATGGGTCATACAGTTGTATATAAGATAGCATATATTCATACTTCTGACAGTATCAAAATCTGTCGAACACATCCTCTACATACTCCAATCAGACATAACAAGTGACAAGTAACTATGTTCCCATATGACTCATAACCTTAACAACAATAAATCTCTATCAATCGGTCAACCCCCAAACCTCAGGTCTTAGCGATCAAGAAATGCGGGTGAAAAGATACTTCCCGGATTTTTTTACGCGTGAGGAAGCAGAGAACCCTAATGGCCCTCTGCGCGAAGCGACGGAAAGGTACAAGGCAGTGTTCCCAAATGACTGGAAACTCTGGTTCGCTAATGAAGATACCCTGGGAATACTCTATCTGATGCAAGTCAGTATGGTTCAGTCAATGCTACCATATTCCGCCTGGCCAATGAGGGTCGCTTCTATAATGGACCACGATTTCATTACAGCTAGAAGAGCTATTGCCAATGGTTCTTTAGACTGGGCAAGCACAGTTGAGTGCATCCTTAAGGTTTTACACAACAATAATGTCTTAAGCTCTCCTCTAACTACTTTTGCTAAACTTACCGCCAACAACAGTGAGATAACGCTAGACTTTGCACGCCGTCTAAGGAAATCTTTTTTCTTTCTCCCAACAGATATGGTAGTGGGACCCCAGGCTCGAGATATATTAAGCCAACATGTCCAACAGTTCTTACCTCAGACATGGTCCACAATTAGTTCTCGAGCCCCGTCCCTTTCAAACAAAGAATTGGCCGACAATATTGTCCAATCTACTGAAGCCATTGCCTGTTGGCCGTTTGAAGATACCAACTTTCAGCGTGGTCCCAGTCTTACAAATCCAGCTGTTGAATCATCACCACCTGTGCTAGGTCAGACAATAATAGATCCTAGGCTCCAGGGAAATAACGTGTTCCCCACATGCAGTACGTTCGACGAAGGTGGAGAATACGCTGTAAACTCTCAACACGGCAACTGTTACAAGTGTGGAAAGCCAGGACACTGGTCTAAAGACTGTCGCTCGAATCCACCGTCTAAAAATCAACGTATCCAGCCAAATTTGGGTCGATTTCCAGCCCGCTCCAATTTCAGCGACGAACTGAAGAAACGTTATGCGGCTATTAAGAAAAAAGGATTCAAGCGCTTCAGTACCAACCAGAAATTGTATGTTGTTGAGCCCATGACTCTAGACGATGGCCATCAAGGAAGTCCTGCTGACACCATTGAACACAACAACGTTGACCAGGAACTAGAAGACTTGCTCACTCAAGTCCTTGCCGAGGAAGAAGTAGAATGAGGGTGCCAAGATGCCTATATTGTGGCAATAGGCTCAGGCTATACAAAAGCTACCCTCGACGAGGATCCTCTTCGTGAGGGATGCGGAAAGCCACACAAATTTTTCCTTACACGTCTTTCAAAATTTCCTTTTGTTACCTTTTCTACTTTCTTCGATTATGGATCTTCCACTTGTTTTGTTTCCAACTCCTTGGCCACCAGACTTTTTTCCTATAATACCTCATTCATTTCTACGATTTCAGGAATTGGTGGAACGGGACCTACAGTTACCAAATGTCACGGTTTCAGTACAAAATGCTTGGGCGATCTTGTAAGTACAGTATATTAATTATAATTCTCTAGAGAGAGAATTCCTATAGCTAG